AGTATGTACTTATGTACTGTATGTATGTACCTGTTGTATCTACACTTATTTAATTATACAGTTTAAAAAACATAATGTTTAATAGGTGCTTACTTAAATACAGACGTAATTACACAGCGTAATTCTGAAGATAGAAGAAGACGATCGTTCTTGGAACTCGAGACCGAACTTGTTTTGTATTCTGAGAATGAAGTCTTGTGTTTTGACGTGTGCTACAAAGTAATCCTTTTATTTGATTGTTTTTTTATGAAGTACATGACATCTCGAACTGTATACTTTTTTTTTTATTTAATAGAAGCATTTTGTTATGAGGTATCGATATATTTTATTGTATTTTATTTTTACCACTATAAACTATAGAATGATGTTAGCAATAAATGGCGTGTTTTGCCGATATAATCAGTGAAACAACCTGTTCAATGAAATACTGGACACAGGTCTAAGCATAAAAATGTCTTTAATCCATGTACATAAATAACAGTCCCACGCTAAGTTTAACGCTAGCCCACGTACGACAAAACACTTAATACCATGAGATAAATCTATAAAAATACAACACTATAAAGAGGTTGCTTGCTCTTAATACTTTAGCTGAACACTAAAGTTCTTGTAGACCATAAAATGGTTGAACATTTTGCTATTTTAATGCTTTTGCTATAGTGATAGTTAACTTATAATCGATATTGGTTGATACATACATTAAAATTAAGGAATGTAATTTTGTTATTACGAATCGCTATCAAATAAAATATCGTTAGATAATGTATTCACATAAAAATAATAAAAATAAAAAAAAACAAACTAGAAAAGAGTTTATAACAATTATTCTATTGTTTTATTAGAGCAATTTTTTAAATTTCTTTAATGGATTTTATTTAACTGACTTCAAAAAGAAGATTCTCAATTTGATTGTACATATATTGTTTTATTCTTGTTACCTCGCAACTTCATCAGTTATAAACTGATATGTAAAATTCTGTTTTTACCTGAAAGGATATACTTTCAAATTGATCCGATAGAAATTTATCTAATTAGTAATTTAGTTTTTAAATTAATGTAGGTTTGCCACAATTGAAGTCGGTTTTTTTGTGGAACACAATCTTAAATTATCATACTTTACGCAGTGTCAATAACCTCCGACTTAAATTTCCCACTTATTCTTCTTCCTTTTATTCTAAATCTTTATTTTGTTCAATAATAAAATAAACCTGTTAAATCTTTATTGAATTTTCCTGTGTTCTCTTGTCCCCATGTGTGCTGTTAAGTATGTGTATGTTATGTATATATTTAATTGTGTATATATTATATATGTATGTATGTATCTATATATGTTTGTATATCATTCTTTGTCTTTTTCTCAATGTCCTCTACCCATGGAAGAGATGGAGGCCGCCTTTTGTATCACTTCTCATTAATAAAATACTTGGTGCAATAAAGTGTAAATAAATAAATAAAATAAATAAATTATACAATTTAAAATTTTGTTCAAAAATAAAATAATGCTGTCTTATTGAATTGCCCTCATTGTCTCCATAATGAATATTTAGTTAATATCAATTAAGCATAATGGAATATTTTAAAAATACCATATAGTTAATATTTTAGAACATGCAGTGAGATCTACAACATTCCTCATAAGTTGTCTTTTAATTTAGGCCACTGTTTACAGAGTTTACATTTTTCTCTAGATGCAAATTTAATACTTGCAAAAACGTACATACTCGTAGAAGATACGCTTTCGTTACATATATTATACAACGATATTCGTTACAGTAGCATAGTTTCGCATGGCAAAGCGTTACAAACTTACGAATCTTAAAGACGATGGAAATTTCGAGAGATTTCAAAGGAAGATTAAAGGACCTGAGGACGGAGCTAGTTGAAAGTCTGTGTCATGAAACTTTGTTAGGCACGAGAGTTACCTCGTTAACAGGCGAAAATATTGCAAAAGTTAAATTCGAATTAATCTGTGATGATATTTTTTCTCTGCAAAAGCAATACCGGTACTAATGGGATAGATTGTTAACTCTGCTCGACGCGCGCCTTTGTGGTAGCTGTTTCTATTTACCCCTACTCTTTAGACTAGGTATGCGAATGCCAACTAACTTGTACGTATAATAAAAATAGCAATTCATTTTGTATAATAATATTGCATGTACACAACTAATTATTGGAGTATGTAGTAATGCACTGGTTTAGGCTATTTAATGGCATAGTGATACACGATAGAAAGTAACTATTTTTGGAGAAGAGGTAACTGAGAAGTTCGTTGAAATATTGACTATATTGGAAATATAATGAGAAGCTAAATTAGAAATATATCGATGAGCTTGTATACGAAGAGATATATGAAAGTAGAGAACCTAGGAAGGTAAGTCTGGACAGAAATAGCGTTTTGGGGTTTCTGCCAACAGCAGTAATTATTTCTATGTAATTTGTATTTATGTTATTGTGTATGTTATATATTTATGTAGATTACCTTAGTGGTGTAGTGATTTGATGTACTGCTTTACCTTCAGTTGGTCATAGGCTCGATTCCCGTACAAAACAAATACATATTGATATTCATCTTTGTCATAGTTTAGGAGTTTTTTATATATAGTACGTAGATATTAAAAAAAATAATATGCGTATCAAATATTCTCTGATTATGTAGTTTGGGACTAGATGGGGCTATGTGGTATATACAGTGGTATTATTGATTTATTATATTCTGGTATTGTTTCCTATACTACAAAGGTGGAAAATAACACCCGCTTGATGGTAGGCAATAACTATGGTATATGGACGGCTGCTACATAAGTGAATTTTTAGATTTGCATTGTCGACTGAAAAATACGAGTATGTTTCATACAACAAATATCTTATATAAAAAATGGCCATCCGTCATGGTTGCCCTCTTGCATTGTGATTTATATCATTGTTACAGTGTAATAAAGACATAAAACCCTGACTGGTCCCCTAACCAACCCGCTTATCTAACGATCGGTTGGGCAGCTGTATACGTCTATACTAATGCAATTAATCGCGTGCTATGAGGGTGGTCGGTATCTGGAATTGAAACGTTTAATGTGTGGAAACGTGTTTTAGTGTACAGGTGTCACTTATTAAATTACACACCAATATTTTAATTATTAGTAAAAATTGCGAAATAAGAATAAAAATGATTAGAAATATTGATATTTGGTATTACGAGTAGGTATACGTATAAGGTAGGTATAAGTTGTTTCTTATATTTATTAGGCAACTTTAGGAGTTGGCGTAATTGTTTATATTCTTAGGGGTAGTTTTATTTTAATAAAGCTGCAATGTAATCGTGAATATAGCAAAAATATTTGATGTGATCTTTAGAAAAACCATTGTATTTTACTATTTTGATAGTTTACCTAATTTTATAGCTTTTAATCAGCACGTACATTGTACATGGTTTATTTATCGAATTGTAGTAACCCCGAATAGATTAGCCATATTTAACCTGACTAAAATTATCATAGCTTTGTTTTTTGCCTCATTCTCTTATTGTTAATTTTCCTCGATTATATCTGATAAACAACCATCCTAACACTCGAATTAAAGTAGACACTGGCTACCCCACGATACATGGCCCAGATAAATTTCTATCATTTTTCTCTCGCTCACGAGCCGTCACCGTATAAATGTTTCGAGTGTCTTTTTTTGTACGCAACCGAAGGAATTACAACATTAATCAGACGAAATGAACCTTTTAGCGAAACGTCAAAAGGTTTACGAAGATCTCTGCGGTAACGAGCCACGGTTATACGTAATGAAAACAAAAGAATGTTCGCTCTGTTATCCATACATCAGTTGTTTTGCGCCTCCGTCCGTCCGAACGTCGACGGCGCAGCGCTTTCTCTCAGATAAGCTGAGTGGCTCCGGCTTTGTCTGCCTCACATTAATTCGAGCTCATGATGCAACCCTAGTGCGCATTGTTTCATTGATTGTAGGAATTTCTATTTACTTTTTTACCTGTCTTACAGTTGATATCGTACGATTAAAAGCATTTGTTTTAATATGAAAATCGTTTGTAGAGTGAATCAAGTGAATAAACAAAGATAGATCGCCACAAAAATCTAAATTTCCTGTTGGTATTGGAAGTGAATTCAAATACGTCGTGTTCAGGTGTAGCGGGCGTTAGGTCAGCCGGTCGCTCGATCCGGTCCGGCCGTCCAAGCACACATTTCCGCTTGATTAGAGAACGTGCGAGTTCCCGGGAACACCTGCGCCATCTGCGAGTCGACTTTTCTGCGCGCTTTGTTTTGGAATTCGAAACGTTTCCCGGCGAAGTTTTATCGTCGAGATCCTATGCGGGCGCCGTTTGACTTTCCCAACAGGACGCAATTTTATCACGATATTGTTTTGTATTTAATTCTTCTTTTTTTTCTATTAATTGTCTCTCTTTTTTTGCTTTTACACAAGCAATGATAAGTAAAAACAGCATAAGTGTTTAGTTTATTTAGATTTACTTTTTTATTTATATATAGTTCGTAATTATGTATAGAGAGGTGTCTTTTCATATTATAGCTAATTTGATTTAATATCTACCTACTAGTTTACATAATATCAAGATCTTCATACATATAATCCTTACTAATAATATTATATAAATGTGAAAGTGAGTTCGGTTAATTGTTACAGTTTAGCGTCTTAACCACTGAACTAATCACTATGAGATTTGGTATAGATGTACTTTTTATCCCGATCAGTGAATATGGGATATATGTATGTGTGTGTATGTATTTTACGCGGGTAAAAGCTAGTATGCAATAAATGCAGACATATCAATATAGTAACAATCTATTGTCTTATGTTAGTTTATATATCGGGTTTGTGATCTAAAAGCCTATTTTAATATTACAGTACTTCACGTTTATAGATTACTTATACATATTATATAATATTGCCATAATAAGCGTCTCCTACGCTTGCTTCATTTGCTTTTTATCTTGTTGATTCACTTATTTGTCTTTACTTTGTTTCAGGATATGCCTGTGGGAGTTTGAATAGAAACTTGTGTCCATGTCTGGGAATAACAAAAACTTATAACATCGAGTCTGCATAACATTAGGTAATTAACATATTTCTTTATTCATTATACTTATTACAATATTAATTTAAGTCAAAGTTATTTAACTTTTTAATGTATATTTTTATTTCGCACATTTCTATGTTCATTTGATTTTCTGGTCGCATAATTTATTTATATTATTATTATTTATAAGCGACGGTAAAATACTAAATAAGTGCATTTATTTTTTTATTTAGCTATAAAATCTGTGTTCAATTGTCGAACCGGTTTGAAAGCCTTTTATAGAATGAAGAGTGCTTTAATCAATATTTAACAACTGGCTACCTTCATACATTATTATGCTTATACAAAAACTTTCAAATTTGTTAGACACTTTATTTTTTAAGATTGTAAATTCAGAGTTACTGTCTCTTTGTGGTGAATCCAGTCGTTCTTTTTTATTCGTAAACTTATAAAAAGTATAATTTGTTCCTTTTTTTTAAAGCCGAATTAATCCGATAATAAAGCCCCCCTACCCATATTATCAAACACGACGTACTGCACATAACTGTAATCAATTCGCTATTCATATCGTGTGCACCCACCTTTGCAGGGCTTCAATCTCTTTGATCACGACGTCGCGGTATTAATAGCACGTTAAATCAGGACTCGAGTTTGGGCTTCTATTCTTGACCGATCGAAATCGGATTATTTACTTACCTTACTTTTATTATTTACTACTATTACTATAATTACTATTTATACTATTATTAGAGTATCTATATTATTAATTAGAGTATTCTTGTTTTTTGTCAGTATATAATGTAATATCAAATAAATAATATAATTAATACAATGCGAATAGACATTTTATGTAATATTTGAAATATGTATTTTTATTGTTCGTAATTTTTTTATGCAATTTAGACAAACAAGCTAATGGCCCACTCGAAACTGGTAACTGTCATTAATTGTTATAATTTTTAGTCTTGAATGCATAACTATAGCTATTTACTGTCATCATTCACAGGGAACATTGTAAGTTTAGCTATCGTACGCCATGTATATATAATTTAAGTGTTTAAATCTACTCGTATGTAAGCACATGATTATTAGCATAGGTTTGCGTCAAATAGTTACCGCATTACTTCTCCTCTACCCAAAGTTTATCGGGAAGAGATTGCTTTAGCGATAATATGGAATTTTGTACTTTATAAGCGATATATATATATATATATATATGATAAATATATGATGTATTTTCAGAACGTAAGATTGAGAACAGATTAAGTATATTATTTAGCCTCGTCATATTTTTAGTACAGCAAGTAGAAGAAGTATTAAAAGTAAAATTACTTGGGTGTTATATATTATCATGCCGTTCGGGCCAGTGAGGAAGGGACTGTTAGTAAATGGTTAGGTAACTGACAGCCCCATTACTAATGATATATCTTGTCATGTCGACCTCCTCACGGTATCTCCTGGAAATCATTGTGCTTAAGTACAAGTGAATTTGTCAGTCATCTATCATCCGTCACTAGTGTCCCGCTAGTGTATATTGTTAGCGCAGATTGGGATATTATTAAAAATATTTTGAAGAAAAATTCATTAGAAATTATTAAAAACAAAACCGTCTGCGCCACGAGAAATAGTTAATTAATATTTTTTTATAAAAGAACTAGCAACTCGTATTCACTTCTTACAATTTTTTTGAAAAGAAAATACAGTGTTATTCAGAAGTAAAACTTTTAGTGTGCTCCATGAAGATAACATAAGTAAATAATACATTTAAAAAACATCGAAAATAAAACTTAATAATGTTTACCCAAGACAATGAAAACTCATGAAATATGTTGGAGAATCTGCAGAGCGTTCCCTTGACGTGTTCCGCTAACAGCCATCAATCCGCCATCAAATCGCAGCGGAAAGGGTAATTTGTATCTTTTTTTCAATAAAACAGCACCTGTGCGCGACCGTTGTGTTACCCCTTTAAGCTCAACTCTTGTAAATGTTCCCCATTTGTACAGAGATTGAAAAACTGTTACGGATCTAAACTGCAACAGTTTGTTGTGTTTGCTGTACCCATTATTATATTATTGTTTGACTATTTGTATTGCATTAGGCAAATAGTACTATTTTTGAATGTAGGATACGTTTGTAATAATGTTTTATATTTGTAGATAAACGTGTGTTTTTTAAATGGATGGTAATGGAATAGTAACTCAGCCTGTGGTATCGGTGTACGCTGGCGAGGTACCAGTAGGGGATAATAAGTGTGAATGAAAGCAGTTGGTCTATCGCAACAAATTAATGAAGAATTAATCAATATGGTTTCCAGGTGAAACTGCGTAGAGATCGACTGGAAAAATATTCCCTTTATTACTAGTATCTAATATAGCCGCTAGTTCTAATCTCTTTCTTCTAAAAATTTACTATATTTTACGAGTAAAAACTAAATATCTATTTATATACTATATTTGCTATTTGGTCCTTATATTAACACTTTTTATTGGAAATTATAGAACTTAAGAAAAAATTCTGTTAAAAATATTACAAATACCTGTTATATTTTACATATAAAATTTTTAATTTCAGACATAAGAACATAATATGCATATGAAAGCTCATTTGTTACAACTAATGATGCGATAATTGTCGCCTAGTTGTTATTCCGAGAAAAATCTGTCATCGTTAACTTAGATCATTCTATTGCTCCGAGTCAAAAGTGAGTTATGATGACGCAGTCAGAGTCATATGTCAACGACTTGAATCTTGTCTCGTCGTTTATACTCTTAATATTTGACATTCCTTTTATTTTATGTATGCGATATTTAAAATATATACTTATCGTTTAGTTACTTTTCGTTACTTTTCGTTACTTTACGTTTTATCACTAATCACGGGCTTATTATAAAATTTTAAGTACTAATTAAAATAGCCTTTTTTATTTATTACTTTAATATCCTTCAATTTACAGGGCAGCTCAATTTAATTTGTAAAACTGTCAGATTTTAAGCGGTTATAATAAGCCCCCCCCGTTATAAAAGATAAGTTGTAAGATATAATAAATTTTTATATAAAAATGTTCCAAGGTAAATATAATGCGTTATAGTTATAGTTATTTATTAGTTTCATATTTATTTTGCTAAAAACGAAGTAATAGTTTTTTTTTAATAATAAATGTTTTTTAGTTGCGCGTTGTGGCCCGTAAAAGTACTTAATACGTTTTTTATTAATTATGCTTTAACTAATAAAAAATATTTAACGCCAAGTTTCAGTAAAAGTTGCTTATTCTTTTTTTATGCAGAGTTAAATTCTTTGAACTGTATTAAATATTGACATTTCGACATAAACGATCGATTTCGAGTCTGTTTAGAAGGGTCTTTTATATAAACTATATAAAACTAACATATCTACTCATAATGTCATAACTATTTTCTCTAAAATAAAAATTTCTGATTGATATTATAACGAAATCTTTATGCTTAGAACCAACATGAACAAATTTTTTATATATGAACAAAATTATTATAGTTTTTAATGGTTCATAAAACAGTAATTTCGTGAAACTCAAATTAAAATATCGGAATACCTTAAATAAACTTGATACATAAGTAACTGAAATGCTGACTTAGCACATAGGATATGTTTATGTACTGATTCACGCGGGTAAAACCACAGGACAGGACACTACAGCTAGTCTTAAATATATTAAAATATAACATATGTGTCTGATCTGTTTCAATATCTACATATGAAACTATTAAATAATATTTAAATAAAGTAAAAATCTGTGGTTTGGTTTCGATTTTTTGTAAAGATAGATTCAATAACAAATTTTTAATAAATCCTCTCATACAATAATTTTAATTTAATATTTGGTCATGCTGTGTAGATGGGCCATTATAATCAAACTAATCGATATTTTATAGAATATATATGTAGTGTAGGTAACTAAATTTATTATTAATTAGAATAAAACATATTTTATAACGAATTGCGTTCTAAAGAATTGTTCAAAATAATGTTCATAGCTACTTTTTATCATCGTACTGCTCACCATCGACAGAGAATCCATCTTCACATTTTAAAACCTAAACGGTTGCGTACAGTGCGATTTCAGAAGAGTTTTCTCCCGTAAATGCTCAGGCTGAAGAATGAGCTTCCTTTTCCCCAATGATTATGGTATGAAATTCTTCAAAAAGGGCATATTAAAATTCCTTCAGGGTTGGCAACGCGCACGTGACATCCAGTATTGCAGGTTTCCATAGGCTACAGTGACGTTTACTATCAGACGGGTTGTATGTTATTTATCACCTTCGTGGTACAAAAAAAATATTATTAAATATTATATAAAACAAATACCCATAAAACTGTATCTGTAATGTCTGTTACTTCTTTAAGTATAGATATATAAAGATAGGTGTCTCCTTATAGTATAATTTTCATAAAAAAAAAAACAAACAAGGTTACATTAAAAGTCATCGCGACCTAAAGGTCATTTTTTGTAACCTAGGTATTTGTATGTTTTTTACCTCTTATTTTAGATATTTTATTTAGTATGCTAACTTCATTCTGTATTCTTAGAAAATGATGTGTTCATATGGATTTTTAGATTAAATTGGACCTAAATTGTTTCAAAAAAGTGGCAAAAATCTAGCGACATTAGTGATAGACACGTTTTCGTCGGATAAGGTAGAACAAGACTGCAACATTAGGCATTTAGGTTTTTCTATGCCGAGAGGCTTGAATGTATATTATAACTACTCAAAGTACTTTAAAGTTACTACAGCCTTATCACTTAAATTGGCATTTCTGTAATACAGGATATCTAGAGTTTGCACTTATCCCACTTTCCTATCTTAGCCCTACAGTTACATTGTAATTGATGTAAACTACAACATTTTGCCATAGATTACGCCCACATATTACTATAGTTACTTGCAGTCGATGTATAATTTTCCTGAGTTAGTTTTAGTTTATCTACTATGCTGAAATATTTACCTCTGTTACTATATTCAAGTAGTGTACTATTATTATTTTTCTCTACACTACAATAA